CGATTTTGATGCCACAAGGCGGGAAGAAACAGTTCCATCCTTGTAAAGGTGTCTAACATAACAGTCTGCACCCTATGCTTGGGATGAATCCACAAAAGTGTGAATGGTCATCTCTTCAGTAGTAGTGGGATCTCTCAGGCATTGCAGAACCTTAAGACTGGACAGTGCTGGCAGTTCATTGAACCATTGTGTTGCCTGCTGTGACAAGTTTTCACCAACTGGCTCATCCCAGTCCACACCACTTGCCCACATTTCTTGAAGCAGGATCTTGGCTCGGACAGTGTATGGTGTTAAAAGGCCAAGAGGGTCAAACAATGTTGCTATCCCTTTCAAAAAATTTCGTTTCGTTTGGTCACATTTCTCAGCAGGCTGGTTGACTTGAAACTTAAACACATACTCTACGGGGGACCAAAGGACTCCTAGGGTTTTGACTTGAGGTAATTCACCACTATCAAGATCAACTTCGGTGGCACAGTCTGACGATGGAATGCTCTGCAAGACTTCCAGCTTATTTGATAACCACTTCCTGGCATACATCCCAGCTGAACCCCAGAGCTCTGACAATTGGTTGTATAGTTCAATTGCAGTTTTCACATCAGGCACTGAATCCATGAGTACGTACTTTTAAGATGGTTTCTGCTGCCAGGGGAAACTCTGACTGATATCTCTTGGCATGTTCTTGGGCAACAAATTGGGCTTGGAAAGGAGATGAATTCACTCCGAATACTACACGGTCAAATTCGAAAATGTCAGGTTCTTTGTCTATCTCCATATTATGCCACAAGAAGCGATGATAAGGCTGATCGTTTGGCTGCAACTTAATCTGTAAGTACATATCTTTGATGTCACACATTACAGCCACTGGTTGATGTTGCAGTCGGAGTAGTACTGAAAACAAGTCATTCTGTAGTTTAGGCCCTTGTAATAAATTATGATTCAGAGACACTCCATTACACTTAGCGGAGGCATCAAATACTATGCGGGTTTTGGTCGTTGATTTATCAGGTCTTAGTACTAGGAAATGTGGCAGATACCAAACTTGATCTGGCTTCTTTTCCTCCTGTGGGACTTGTGGATGTATCCTGCTTCTTGATAGGTCTGCAGCACTCTCTCGTAAGCTTGACTAAGCTCAGGGGACTTTTGTAACTTCTTCTCAGTATTTCGTAGACGTTACAATGCCATGCTGTAATTGTCTGGCAATAGACGTTTGCCACTCTTCCAAGGCATTCCAACTGTGTAATGACCGTCCACAAATGTCAGTGAGTTGGCAACTGTGTCCCTGGCTAGCTTCCCATTTGGATTCACGATGTTAGTTTTTGAACTTGTAGGTTCATCAATGTCCCAGTACCGATGGATGAGGCTGCTCAGCTTATTTGAATCACTCAAGAAGAAGGTGAAGTTGGCATGGATTCTCACTGCCTTGCCATCTGGGTTACCGATACAAGTCCACCCTAGTGGAGTAAGTCTAGCAATAGGTTCTCCAGATCGACCTCTCACATCTTTCAAAGAGTACAGCAGGTCTGCTCCGATTAACACATCTACTGTTGTTCTGGGACCTGCTTGAGGAAACTCAATGTCCTGCAAATGCTTCCACTTGGACTGATACTGTCTCCAGTCTACGACTTCCTTGTTGCCTGTGACTCTCTCTGTCGTATAGGCTGATGCTTGTTTGGACACTTTTCCATTCAAACTGCTAATTGTAAATTCCACCACTGTTGTTTCAAACGTCCCCTGGTTGTGACTCTTCTGAGGCATTCCAACTGTGTAATGACCGTCCACAAATGTCAGTGAGTTGGCAACTGTGTCCCTGGCTAGCTTCTCATTTAGATTCACGATGTTAGTTTTTGAACTTGTAGGTTCATCAATGTCCCAGTACCGATGGATGAGGCTGTTCAGTTTACTGAATCACTTGTCAAGAAGAAGGTGAAGTTGGCATGGAGTTGCTTCAGTTCTTGTTCTCGCTCTCTGATCTCCTCTTCGAGTCATTCTGACTGATCCTTAATCGCAGATTGTCCAGTTGGCATGGTTCTGGAACCGTTTAAGGTACCATTGTGACTCAGACTGCTGCTTAGGTATCCCTTGACCACTCCTTCAATGTCACTAAAATATTTTTCCAAACCTTCCAACTCATTCGCTACGGCACTAAGCCTCACCGAGTCACCAACATCCTCGTAATGTGCTGCTAAATTTTTGGCAGCACGAACTACATCCTCAAATACAGCAGAAAGAAGACTCAAATTTTCCGTCACCTGCATTTTTGAAGCCATTCCTCCCTCCAAGGTCATCAGTAATTTTGTTTTTGTTCTTGTATAAGCGCATTTGTACTTCGCCTTGTCTTTAGTCATTCGGCCATTCCAGTTTTCGTTCCAAAATTCATCACAAAATCAAGCTAAATAAGTCAACTCTTCTTGAAATAACCTCGCTCTGCTACAAGATGTTTAGCCGGATTGCAATTTGAAAAATATTTGATCCTTTATTTAAGGAAAAACCGACAGTAAAAGTTCATAACAAACATGGAGGAAAAAACCAGTGGAAAAACCTCGTGGTAACTAACTGAACGACGCATGCGTGCAGGCGATTACATCATAATACATTGGAACAAGCTGTGTGACTGTGTAACAAATGAAAATAATTCTTGGTTTTGAGATTAGTAATTTCTTGGCATACATGTAAGATTGATCAAGAACTTCTGTTCTGTTCCTACTAGTGGTAGAAAATAAATAATTATGTAATAAGTAAAAACCATGATTGCACACTTTCTTACCCCTATGTTGTGGGAATTTGTAAAGAAACTTAATATACTTTTGTTTCTGTAGGTCACATTCAAACTCTAGTACTGTAGAGTTTCATGGTGGCAATTGCAGTCATTATGATGAAACTGAGGTGAGTAATTGTACATCTAGGTACATTCATAGAAAAATGTATTTCTGTTAATTTTCATTATTACAATTAGGTGATTACTAATGGTGTTATCATCTTGAAGTAGAACATAGTTTTACACTTCTCTTGACTGGTTTGCAACTTGTTTAATGACTTCTGCAAAAACGTCTATTTTCAAACTTGAGTAACTTAAAAAAAAACTTTAAGCCTACTGGTGGTGAAATACTGAGGTGATGAATATCCACTAGCAAAGAGGAAGAAAGTTTTGGATAGTTTTATCAAGGATGGTCATGTTTAGTTTGAGTGGCACTCATAATTTTACTTATTACTAGGGTACACTATTGTATTATTATTTTCAGACTCTTCTCAGTGAGGGAGATTCAGGAGGCTTGGTAAGTTTATTGTAACATCACAAAAATGTACATATGCATGTTCATAAATGTATAGTGGTAAGTGCTGAAGGTATCTTCATCCATCTACAGGTGTGAATTTAGTAGAGTTTAATTTTTGAAAAAATGTCATGCCTCTTTTAGTCTCTACCAGCTGTATTCAAAGCGTCCAAAAATCTCAACTTTTTCCATATACAGCCAAACCAATTTCACATATGTGTGGACTAATGACAATCACTATATAATGATGATGATAATAATAGTAATAATAATAATAATAGTAATAATAATAATAAAAATCTAAGAAAGGCTATTGAATACACGCTTTGGTTAAGTAACGATTATGACAACAACAACAATAATCATAATAATTCGGTTCTCTAGGATCAGACTCATATCAGACCCAAACTAACTTTGATAACAAAAACGACCTACATATCAAAATCGTGAAAGCAACTACCAGTTCGTATTGAAAGAATTTCAGAAGACGTGCATCGAAATTAATTATCCTTATAAAAGTAAATTACATTAAAAAAATATATGAGAAGGGAAATGACACTCTTACTCTAAAAAAACTGTAACTATAAAAACAAATTTTAAAAATGTCTAGCCTATATTTGCCATAGCATTTTCAGTTAAAAAATCTGTATTGAATGTTTAAAATGTTCTTCTCTTCTTTCTTGTACCTCTTAAGCATAAGAGGGCACATCATAAGAGCGCAAAGGAGATTTTTGCTCTATTCCAGGACATAGTGGTAGAGTATGTTTCACATTTCTGAATGGATATGAGTTCAGCTAAGCGTTTATGGTAAATTTTGCATTCAGTGCCCATCCCTCCGGTGGTACTAAAGATCAGGGGCGTAAAGGATCCTTGCTCTATTTCCAATACTCTACTGGCATACTTTCATTTCTTCTCATTTTTGGGCTGTTTAAAGACTTGCTCAGGTGTCCTCTCATGATAGGAGTCAGCATAAGGGTGGAATACCCGGACATCAAAGTATGCAGACTTCTGTCGCTCCCAGAAACCTCTGGCTAGAATATCAAGACCAGCATCTTGGGAAGTATTGGCCCCATTATTCAAAATTTCTCCTGTAATCTGCTGCAGGGGAGGCTCGATTTCCACATCTTTACATATGGTGCTAAGCAGTGCCGCCTCCAGGTCTCTGATCTCATTGTGGCGTTGTGTCACAAATCCGCCATTTCTGCAGGTCATCGCATGGTCCACGTCAAAGATGTCACCACAGATGCACCGGTTTGGGATGTCAGAGAATTCCCAATTATATCTCAGCTTAAGGGCATCTCTAAATTCTCCTTTATTGAGATCGTATCCTAGGTCTTTTAACGGGATGACAGTGAGCCAACTGGAGGCACCTCTTTCTGATGCTTGTTCTTTCACTTTGAGCAAGTTCGGTGTTAACATGTTATTTACCCTCATTTCAGATTCTTTCAGGGCCTCATGTTTCTTAGCTATTGTCTGGGACTTTGCAGCATTGTTATCTGCTTCATCTGGAGTGTGGTGATCTTGATGTATGATATGCTGAGTCAGTGGTCTAGTAACAGTTACTGAGACTTCGTACTCTTGAGATGCCAATTCTACAGGGTTTACGATACCAAGTCCACCCAAATGCACTGGGAGAGCAAGTAGGTTGCGCTCTTCTTCATTAAATTGATGATCTGTAATGGCAGGAATTAAAAGATTTGCTATAGCATTCTCAAGTGGCTCAAGTAGATCCCTTATATCAGGTAGTGTTCTCAAGAAGTATTATTATTATTATTATTATTATTATTATTATTATTATTATTATTATTATTATTATTATTATTATAAGATGCTTTTCAGAGGGAAAAACAAGATTAATTCCTGAGCCGGGCAAATTTTACAAGCAAAAATCAACACCCAATCATGTGCTTGATTACATTGTACAAATGGTTCATGTTGTGTGTTTTGGGGCCTGTGTATGAACACATGAACCATTACAACTTGATGGAAGCTCAGCAATGAGGGGCTAAAGTGGGATGTAGCGGGACTATTGATAATTTACTGATCGATTTACTGGTTACTCCGGACTGTCATAGGCGTAAGCGCAACTTGAGTGTTGCTTGGATCTGCCAAGTCATTAGCAAGTTATGTGACAGTTGGAACACCAGGATTAATATCTCTACCAGCAAGGGCAGTGAGACATCATTACCCATCTACTTCAACAGAGGTCTTCCAAGGGATGATGCTCTGTGCCCATACCTATTTACCTTGTGTCTTAATCCGGTTGCGTGGAGACTGAGCTCTACTGAGGGTTATAGGCTGTCAAAGCTGATCGCGTCCAAGATTATGAACTTGCTCTACATAGACGATCTCAAGGTGTTCACCGCCTCTGAATCAAAATTGAAAAGAGTGCTGGAGATGGCTCAGACCATGATGGGGGACATTGGCCTGCAGTGGAACCCCAAGAAGTGTAATGTTTTGCACGTGAGAAGGGGAATTATCATACAAGATTCGGAAGGATATGTGATGGGAACAATGAGCATGGATTGTCTTAAGAAGGACTTGCAATATCGTTTGCTGGGAGTACCAGAACAATTATTGCAAGATGAGAAGGTGGTTTTGGAGTGAGCAGCTAACACTTACCTGAGTCGATTATCCGTCATCTGGTCAAGCCCACTTGGACAGCAACAGAGTGGTGGCGTCTAACCAACCAGCGCTACTGGTACTCTCATACCTCATGTGGTCATAGCATTGGAACATTTCTGACTTAAAGAAATTGGATAGACAGACTCCTAAGATTATTAGCAGTAGCGGTGGGAAGCAACCGCTTGGATCAACTTCTCTTATTTACCTGCCAAGAGCTCTAGGAGGGCGTGGCCTGAAGTCTGTGGAGACTGAGTACACACAAATCAAGATTAAGTCAGCTATCAGGCTTTATAGTAATAACGACCCAACCATGAGCCTGGTGAGAGCCTTTGAGAGCCTCTGAAGAGTTTGGGGTTGCTCTCAAGCTCTCCTTTCCTGAGCCAAAATTCCGAGACAGGGACGGGCAGGAAGTACCATTGGATAAGCTCAAGAGGCTCTTAAAGAGAGCTGTTACAGCTGAATGCCAAGAAAAGATCCAAGAGGAGAGGTGGCAAGGAAAATTCCTCTCTGCGAGGTGGGAAGACGACAAGCTGAATCAAAGAGGGTGTTGGGATTGGCTGAGGAGCTGGACAGAGGCACCCTCACACACTATTGCCGGGATTGTAGAGTTATACGAGCAGCTTACACCAACAAAGCTGTATACAGCGAGGAAAGTGAGAACAACACAGGTCAATGATGTTATGTGTAGGATGTGTAACAAAGCACCTGAGAGTCTTCCCCATGTCCTGGCCAGCTGCCCGACTCTTGCGCAAAATAAGCACTTGTCGAGACACGATGTGGCCCTCAAGGTCTAGTTTTTCAAGAAGCTGAGGGATTTAGAACTAATAGATGCGGTCCCCCCCTGGTACTCATCTGTAGATCCTAAACCAGTCTATGAGTCCCAGGAGGTCAAGGCCTTCAGGGATGTTCCAGTGTATGTGGAGCACAGTTTTGTGAAGCAGAACAGAGTGGATGCGCTTTTCATTGACATCAAGAGGAAAGAGGTGATAGCTGTGGTGATGTTGTGCCCGTGGATGGACAACCAGCTAACGAAGACCAAGGAGAAGACTGCAGAGTATGGTCCTTTGAGGTTGGAGATGATTCAGCAGTATCCAGGATATACCATCAAACAACATAATATCATCACTGATGTCCTGGGCGGATGGTCGAGAGGTGTGGATGTGTCTATGATAGAGCTATTTGGAGGCCGGGGAGAGGGGATCCTAAGAAAAATGCAGAAAGCTGACCTTTCGAACACCTTGAGCATTTGAAGAACTTTTAAAATTATCACTAGATAACTAAGGAGCACACTTATATAACTTTTAGAGAATTTTCGTACCTAAGTTTCTTGTATTTATCAGATTATTAGATATATATATATATGTATTTTATTATTTAATTTTTATTTATTTATTTACATTTTCAAAGTTTGGGAAGATTCTATTCCTACGCGCAGCCTGGGCCACGTTTATTGCCCCAGTCTGTGAATGATCTTATGGCAAACATAAGTTTTGACAACTGTTGGATAATAATTATAATAATAACTTTATTTACTGAGGGTGACACATTACAGTTGAGAACTGGTAAACTTTTGGCTTTCCCCTAAGATATAAAACTAATTTGTAAATAATAATTTTTAAAAAGGTAAAATCATAATTTAAAAAATGGTAAAAATGGTAAAAAAAGTAAAATTAATATTAAAAGTTGTTTTAAAAAAGGGTGAAATGATATAAAAAATTTATGAAATATATCAATAGTTCCTTTTGAATGCATCGATACTGGTGTTAGATCGTACTGAAGTAAACTCCAGTCCTGTGTTCACAAAAGACCAACTTTTTCTCAACTTCAAAACACATGTGAGCAGGACACACAAACCACCTTACACAAAGTATCGCCCCAACACGTAGCTTATGTAAACAATACAACTGTAAAATAACATAACAAACACACAGCTACGTCATCTGTCTTGTTAAAAAAAAAATTTGCCATTAAAATGGAAAGTATTAGTAACCAATCATAGTCAAGACTGGGGAGTGGAAGATCCTCTGAGATCCTAGTTTATATGGGAAGATCCAACTGCAATGGTTCAGCATTGGTTAGTGTTTACTAAAAATCAATATCTATCAGTGTTTCGAATTAGACATTCATAGTCTTGTTCATTCTGCATTGGTCATTGTCGCATCCTTTGTAAGTCACTTGGTAAAGGTCACTTCCAAGGTTTTATGCATATCCACATTTCACTGGTGGCTTGCTCGTATGCCTAGGTTGGGATGTTTTAATGCTGTCTGATGGATTACAGGCTTTCTGCTTTTTGGGGGTTTTTGGCTGCGGCTTTGGGGGTTTAACTGTAGCCGTGGTGTTTGGCATTTGCAGACTCTGATGCATTTTTTCCCTTTGTTCAGCACAAGTTGTTGCAAGAGGTGAAGTTGGGGCATTCTCAGGAATTGTTGTGTTGTTTTCTCCAGTGTATGATTGCTGTCTGTCAACTGAAGCCACTGTCCCACTTGACCATTGGGCCTTTCTTTACTGAGCTTTATTTGTCAACATGACCATTTGACTTTGCTCCAGCCTTGGTGGCCCACCTCTGTTTTCACCTTCAATCATTCTTTCGGCATATTGAACACTCCTTTGGCCTGCATTGATGCTGTTTGTGCTGTCAAACAGGCTAAGTGGTATTGAGCGTAGGTCTAGTTTGACCTTCCTGTAAAACATCAGCTCTTAGGGTGAAGGGCTATTGGCATCTAGAGGTATAAATGGACACAGTCAGTCAATTTATTATGTGCATACATAAAAGGAAACGTTGGAGGTTATCCCCATCGTGGACGCTCCCTACATAAAATGTAAAATATGTATATTACAATGTAAAATTTAAGAGTCATTAAGAAATGGGTAAAAAAAAAAAAAATTTATGAAATTTTACAATACTTTCTAAGTTTACTATGAAAAATGTTAAATTCCTGTTCGTGAACTATCTCTTTAGGAAGAGCATTCCACTATAACAGTTCTAACAAAGAATAACTGCAAAAAACAATTTGTTCATAAGCATGTCTTCCATTGACATTTCTTCTTCCTTGGACTTCTCAAATGACCTTTTGAGCCTCCCAATGGTAATTTCACAGTGGCAGTTTTTCTACTGAGAATGGGAGGTCCCTGGCCTGTGTATGATGTTGAATTTCAAGCAGAGTTCTTGGAAGCCACTGGAAGTGTATTGTGAGCCTTAATTACTCACTATCTACATAGGAAAACCAAACTGGTCATAGACACTCTGAAAATGTTGGGTCACTGTGTCTTGCTTCGTGGTTCTCGATTGGCTCTTCCCACAGATACCTTGTGTGGTAGTCAACAATGCTATTGTGGCTTTGACCAGCATGTTGGAAAATGTCACAACCCAGGATCTGCACGGCATTGGTTGTGATCACAGGGATAACCACTGTTTGTTTTTCTTTGGGCTGGTGCTCCAGACAGGATGGGCAGCTCAGAATAAGCCTTCTAATCTATTCAGTTATGCTAGGCCAGAGCCACTTGTCCCTGGCTCTTTGGATAGATTTGTCCACTCCTTGATAGACTCAATGCAGCTTCTGGAGAAAACACTCTTGCATCCTCTACAGCACCACAATCCTTAGGCTCTTCACAATGATCTCATTAATGACTGCAATGTCATGTTTGTAATCCCAGGATGCTTTAGTTAACTCAGACACTTGATTGCAGTGTTCTGGCAATCCTTGCTGGCATAGGTGCTCTAGCTCCTGGAAGATTGGATCTTGCTTTTGAGTTAATTTTATCTTCTGGACATCAGATTCATTTGCTGCAGTGACCTCAAATATCCTGATTTTGTTGGTCTCTGGGAATACTGGGCCTTAGTTGGGTGCTGGTGTCAGTACACACCAGGAAGTACAGGAAGTTGGATGTGTGCATCTTGGCACCCTTCTTGTATTCCATTATTTAAAAAAAACACTTTGCAGTCAAATGACTGAATGACATGAATATGTACAATACTGTAAGATGAATATTAAAAATATATAGTAGATTAGGTAGTGATCAAACAATATGACACATGGTTTCTGTTCTGTTCTGAATGGTTTCAGCTTGCTGTTGAAAGAGTTCCTTTGTCCATGGCAGAGGTCCCTGATCCCCTTGAGTTCCAAAACTTGTATGAAATGTACTATAACTGGCTGATGAGGCACTCTCCTCCTCCCTAGAAGTCGAAGAAAACACATGTGTGCTTCCTCTGTTCAGAACTTTCTGATTTTGATTCCTAACGTTGAGCTTCCACCAAAGCCTAATCTAAGGTGTTGGGACCCAAGTCCAACTTTTTCTCATGCAAAGCAATCGTGGTGAGAGAGAGCCCACAAAGAAATCCCTAGCTGTATGATTAAGGATGTCCAGGGGGTCTTCAGGATATGCTAACTCCACGAGGCAAGAAATTTCACATCACAGCTGGTGTAAATCTTCATCTGATCGATGCAGTTTAGCACGCAAGGTAGTAATATGAACTTGACGAGATTCCTTTGGATGGAACCGATCAGTTAAGGCCCGTTCAACCGCTGACCACGTGGTAGTTTGCTCATTGATTAGACTGTAGAGGGTCTGCTCGGCGATTCCCTTTAGGTACGCAGGTAAGATTTGACATCGCAGTCCAGGACTCCATTTGTTCAAAGCAGCAATGCTCTTGAATTTTCGTAGCCAGGCCAGCCAGCTTTCCCCGAACATAGTGGAAAAGCTTTCCAGTTTGTGGGTTTTCTGGCGAATCATGTGAACTTGTTGAGGTTGACGTGCGACTTTCGTTTTTCTTGCCAACCTTCGCTTCCAGCTGGGCTAGTTTTGTCTCAAGCCTTAACGGTCTCTTCCATTGTTGATTCATCCGACTTCCACCGCTGCCACCAAATGTAACGAGCTACAAAGGCTCTCTTTTACTCATAAACTCAACACTACACTGTTCAAATCACAACGCTCTCTACACACACTACTACACATGCCCAACTAAGAACTAGGGCTCAGGCCCCATGCTACAATTATTTTTTGTGGGTCAAAGTACTGCAATGTTGTGTTGTATTTTAGTGCAGCCCTCTGTCCTTGAGAATCTTGGTGTGCTTTTCTTCCCACACTAAGTCTGCATTCTTCTTTAATAGAGTAAAGAGGTTCTGCATCTTGGCTGCCAGGTTAGGTACAAACTTCGCCAGGTGGTGAAACATTCCTAGCATTGATTGTAGCTCCTGCTTATTCCTTGGCACTCTCAACTGCTTTATCCCTTAGACCTTCTTCAAGTCTGGTTTTAATGCCTCCTTCATCAGGGTATGGTCGAAGTAATTGATCTCCTCTTAAAAGATCTCTGCTTTCTCTGGATTGAGCCTGAAGAGGAGTTTCCTCATTGTTGGATGATCCTGTTTACTGCCAGACTGTGTTCCTTCCCTCTTTTGCAGCAATTAGCACATTGTCTGAAATACAATAAACATTTGGAATTTCAAGCAAGGTTTTGTGGATGGCATACTGGAATATGCCTTGGCTACTCAGGAGCCCATATGGAAGCCTTTTTGTATTCATATTGTCTAAATGGCATTTTGAAAGTGAGTAGATGTAGGCTGTCTAGATGTATTTTGATGTTGCAGTAACCAGAATATTGGTGAAGGGTGGAGAAATATTTACAGCCCTATAATTTCTGTTATATCTTCTATTGTGGTGCACAATGGTATGGCATCTTCACTGCATTGTTGATTGTCTTTGGATTTAGACATCTGGATATCTCCACTAGGCTTGGGTGTGCGTAGTACATTACTCACCCATGGTGTTGCCTCTTCTTGCCTCTTGGTGACATAAATGTTCACCATCCAGTCTGAGTTCGTCTTCAGAGGCTCCTGCATTGGTGGGGGTACACCATTTCTGCAACTGACCTCTGGTTGGACTAGGTCATCTATTTCTATCTGGTATTGGCAGCCTTCCCAATACCTTTGACCATGTCGCTAGCATCCTTGATGACTTGAGTTGTATTACTGATTTTGATGGGCTTAAGAGAGAACTTGGGCTTTGCAGAGTCTTGATCTTACATTGGAACAACTTTTCTTTCCTCCTGTATTGTAGTACTGTCACTCACCTCATAGAGACCATGGCAGTCCTAACAAGCCTTTCCCTCTTCATAATTTCAATATATCAACAAAGTTGAAATGGTAAATTGGTCACCATTACGATTATAAAAGCTGACGTTTCATTTCACTCTGACAAAGGGCTAATGCTCGAAACGTCATCTTTTATTATCGTAACGGTGGCCAATTTACCATTTCAACTTGTTGATGTATTGAAATTATTTCGTTACCCCCACCCATGCAGCCCCAAACAGTTTCTTTAGAAACTATCAACCTTTTCCTCTTCACTGATGATCTTGATAATTATCATTGCACGGGTGAATTTTAGTGAGAACAACTTACTGCCATAGTTGGATATGAAGAATTTGATGTGTCAGCCATTGACACTATTGTGTTGGACACAATCAATATGTAACTTCCCGTGGTTCCAGATGCGCTCTCCTCCATAACCTGTGAATATCACTTGACTGTCATACAGAGTTCTCTCTGCATCATTGCCAAAGATTTCTGGGAATGTTATATAGTTTATCAGATCCACCTGAGCTTCAGTGTTAACCTTGCATTTGCTCCTTTTGTGCTTCCATCTGGCAATTCAAGTTCAGCAGTGGCATACAATACATTAGAAGATTGGTCCTTATTTAAATAGACCTCAGTGTCATGTTTGGACAGTTTCTTGCAAAATGCATCTTGGTAGGCTTGGTTTCCTCAGCTGTTTTCTCTACAGAGTCAACTTGTACTGTGACCTGGTCAGTATCCTACTCTGAGGAGTGTGCTTCTCTGTCTCACGAGTCTGTAGCTGCTTCGTGAAATTTCTACTTGCGTCTGGCTATTTGTTTCTGCTTGCTGGATCTCATGCTGAAAGAATCAGCTTTTTCTCAACTATGGAACTGCTCAACAAATTGGCCCTTCCTTTTGCATTCTTTCCCGTTGGCAGGGCACTTTTTAAGACCATGTTTGGGTCCAAATTTCTTGCAGGCATATTGGTTTGTGTTGGGTCTGTCACTGGGAGCATGGTGACTCAATTACTTTTGTGAAATCAGCTGTTGGGATCGATTTCACTTACTTTCACATATTCCACTGTCTATGTTGCCTGTTGTGTGGCTCTACTTAGCTTGATTAATGCTGCAAATAAGTGGATGAGTAGTCTCTCTGGATTTAATGGCTGTTGGGGGTGTCTTTGGTGGAGAGAATTTATGGCACTTTCAAAAATCCAAGATGGCAGCCAGCATGATTTACTATTATTACTTATCATGTCATTTTCAGTCTTTTTTTCTTCTGGATAAGGTATGGTATGTCAACCTTCATTGGGCAAGATCAAATATTGAAAATATACAAACATAAAGAATTAAAGCCCAAAAGTGATGGGCACAAAAGGGACACTTGGACCCATGCAGAGTGCCTACCCAAGGAAAATATAAGAATAAGATACATCTAAAAAGGGCTTGCACACCAGTCATCTGTGATTTTGACGAAAGCCGTACAGCAAGAGTGACCCTTCAAAAGGCCAGACAGGTTGGAAGAAAAATGTGGAAATATGGCAGTGCAGTATAAATCTGGTCAAACAAAACCTTTTCGTATACTTTGGAGGTCAGAATATGTTAGATTCCCCTTTCCAAATATATTGAGAGGGAAATTCTAACTGTCTTGGCAAACTAGAAAGGTTTTTCAGCAATCTGAAATAAATTTCGTGGCTTAACTATGTGAATCAAATATTTTACAATGTTGCAAAATATGTTTATTTTTCAATTTTTGAGACGTTGCAACGGTCACTTGCAACTGGGGAATTAATTGTGGCCCCTAATGCAGTCAGAAAATTATTCCAAATCAAACCAAATCTAATTTAGTTCTTTCCCAAGAAAAGTCTTTCAGTTGACAGAGTTTCATGCAAAATTATTTTTGGCACGAAATTGACCAGGTGGAAAATAAGAGAGACAGCCTCTTAAGTAGTGTTCATTACTACAAAGATTGCTCTCATACTCATCTATTATTATTTCTTATATTTATTCTATTTTCTTGAGGGAGTTTTTGCATGAGGTCGACCTTTAACTCCCTCTTCAATTTGTACTTTTGATTATAAATAATCATTACGTAATCATTACGGTGGCTAATTTACCATTTCAACTTTGTTGATATATCCAAATTATTTCGTTACTCCCACCGACGCAGCCCCAAACAGTTTCTTTCGAAACTATCAGCCTTTATTCATTTGTTATTTGTTTATATGCATATGGCTAGACTGCAAGGTTTACAAAGTATGTCTGTATGGATGTATGTATTACTTTAGATAAAGATAGCAAACTGCACAATCCAAAAGACATTAGCACTCAAAGCATCACTTTACATTGGAATCACAAGATCAAATTGAGGTAAAATTCTTGAATGATTAATTCGGGATTCTAGCAATTCTAGAACATGTGAGGTATTGTTTGTAGGACTACTTTTCAGTAATTGTATTTTATCCTTATTCATGCAGATATCACAAAGAAAATACTTTTGTTACAAATACCTCCGATATGTATGGGATGAAGACCATGGAAGGTTTCACCTTCTGAGGTATTTATGATGAAGTAGATTTGGAGTATGTTAATTTTTCACAGAAGTATAGGCAGAGGGGTCAAGATACATAATAAAAGAATTACAAATCATTTTTTTGTGGAGACCTTAGCCTCTACAATTAGGTGATTGTGCAAGGATTTTACAGGTGTAAAATGGCAGTCTTATCCTTTCAATGCAGCATTTGGAAGAATTATGTATAATTTGAACATCATTATAAAATTAATTTGAAGGTGCTTTCAACATGAACAGCTGAAAATGAACTTTAGATGAGATGTGGAGGTAACATTATCATCATCATCGTCATTATCAGGCTGTACATCATTGATGGTACAGTTATGCATAAAACCAAATTGCTTGTTTTTATCATTGCCCATTCATGGATGAGATGCCTACCTAAACTGAAAAGTCTTGAAAAGGAGGTAATAAACCTGAGGTGTTTTAATTACTAACGGTGTGTATAGTTTGTAATTGTTTTCTTTTTGGGAATAGGGGCCTTGATGGTGGATCTCATCCCAGATTATTCTTCCAATGTTTGTCTGGATTATCATCAGATGAAGTTCAACTCAGGTAGGGGTGATGTTCAACTGGTTCCATAGCTTGTTAAAACCAAGCTTTTTTTAATCATGTTAATTTTATTTTTGACACCAATACATCACTGTCAGTACATTACACCTCCACCTGCAGCACATATCTCAGCACAAGCTTCTCAAAATAATTAACATTATTTTTTTCTCGGAGGTCCAGAATCCTAATCCCCGAACATGATTGGCTAATTCCAAGCACTTCAGTGATCCAGATTTTCCTATCTGAACCCTGTGTATAGACTGCTCCAAGTTTTACAATTTGCACTTTTTAATCTTTTCATCAGAGGCAAATTTTATAATCCCAAGAAGGTAAACATACAATAAGATAAAGAAAATCAGAAAATTAAACGAGACTTACCTGTAAGTTGAAGTTTGATTGGAATTCTATGAGTCACCTACTGCGACAAGGGATCACATGAGATTGCAACACGCATGCACACATCAGTTTTGAAAGCACGAATGTGAATGTCATATAATGGGGAAACCAAGTTGTCTCCATTGTTGTGAGTGGATGTGTAACGTGGCAGGGTGTGGATAAAGTAACACCCTCTAGGGAGGGGTAATATAGCCCAGGGTGGGCATGTGATCCCTTGTAGCACTAGGCGACTCATAGAATTCCAATCAAATTTCAACTTACAGGTAAGTCTCGTTTAATTTTCTAATTCTATTTCGTCACCACTGCTACAGGGATCCCATGAGACTTTAAAGCCCAGACATTCACATGAGAAGAGTAAATGATAGAACAAAATGTGAATTTAATCATAAACATAGGGAAAGTCCTAAATACATGTTCATTTCCCACTAGGAACAAAGGAAACATAGGAAGGCAAAATAGCAAAGTGTTTAAACCATTACAAACTTCAAGTCACCCTCACTACGGGGAGGATAGCAAAGTCTAACTCTAGTTAGTCAATTGTGAGTACAGATGTAGCGAAACCACCAGCCTTTTGAAAGGGTTTATTGTAGAAGTGATCAAATTTCCTTTCTGAAGACCAGCCAGCAGTGTCTAAAATTTCCTTCACTGGTACAGATACATTTTTAGCTTTCGATGCTGCTGCTGCTCTTCTACTGTGAGGTTTAAAGGTGGTGACATCAATACCAGCCTGTGCCATTACAGAACGAATCCACCTTGATATGGTATCTCGAGAAGCACTGTGAGGTGGCTTTGCATGGCTAATGAAGAGCTGGGCTTTGTTTTATGTGCTCTGGGAGAGCAAACTCAAAAAAGCTGTCCCCTTCTTTCATGAACTGGATGTCTAGCATATGCAGGCTCTGCCCTCGTTGTGCTGAAACAAGTGCGATTAGCATCGCTAACGTCAGAGTGAACGTTTTCAGACTAGATTGATTTGGCTTTGACAACGATTACAAATGAGAAAGGACTGGGCTAAGATCCCATGTAGTGTGATAACGTGGGGCAGGTGGGTTGTTCTTGAAGATGCCTTTCATGAAGCGGGAGAAATGGGGTGGCTTCCTAGGTTGACATTGTCAGTGGGAAGAATAATAGCTGACAGAGCACTTCTTGCTGTGTTTATGGTAGTGTACGATAAGCCTTGTTCATGCAAGCTGACTAGGAAATCCAGCACTGTATTTAAAGGTGGGCTGTATGAATTAACTTCCCGTTTAGAGAAAAAGTCATGCCATTGCTTGATATTACGGGCATATTGTTTTAGGGTACCAGTCGACCAAGACTGCAGGATGAACTGGTAGCTTTGCTTGAAATATCTCTCTGTTGGAAGGACTCCCTGATACTTTGCAAGCCATTAATTGCAACCGTCTGCTGAGAGGATGAGTTGCATTGCTGTGGGGCAGGAACAGAAGATTGTCGGTCTGGGGAAGTGTTAAGGGGTTGTCGATCAGAAGGTGCAAGAGGAGTGTAAACCAAGGTTGAGTTGACCACACTGGCACAATGAGGATTCCTGTTGATTGATCCTGCTCTATCTTCTGTAGGCAGGTAGCAAGGAGGCTAAAGGGTGGGAAAGCATAAAAGTAATAAGGTTTCCAATTCATGAGAAAAGCGTTAATAAACTGTGCCCCAGGGTCAGGTCTCCATGAAACATATTGAGGGAGCTTAAAGTTAAGCCTAGAGGCAAACAGGTCAATGTTAAACTTGCCCCACCGTTCCTGTATAGCATTAAAAACCTCCTGGGACAAGGACCATTCAGTAGACTCTTTGAGTACCCTGGATTCCTTGTCAGCTTGAATATTTTGAGACCCAGGGATATGGGTGGCAATGAGCCAGATGTTGTTTTTTAGACACCAGTCCCATATAACGGTTGCTATTTCATTGCATGGTATTGATTTAATACCTCCCATTGCATTTATGTATGCTACAGCAGTGGTGTTATCGGTCTGAACGAGAATGTGTTTCTCACTCAAAAGCACCACAAAGGGATTTCAGACCCAATAAAACGGCTTTCAATTCAAGAAAGTTTATGTCGTATCTTTGTTCCTTAAGACTCCAAAATCCCCCTACGGAGGTTTCTCCACAGACGGCTCCCCAACCCAATTTTGAGGCATCAGTAGTTAGAGTGAGGCCAGGGTTGCCATGGCGAATGGGTTTAGATGCAGTTAGGACATTATCTATCCACCACGTCAATTCGATCTTAGACTGGGCAGACAAGGTCATAGTGCTGTCAAAGTTTCCTTTGTTGGCATGGAGTGCATAAATTTTGTCAAGCTCCAAATGCCTATAGTGCATTTCAGCAAATTCCACAGCAGGAAAGCTAGAAACAAGGAAGCCTATGACCTGTGCGACACTGCGTATAGTGGCTATTTTTTTGCAGCAGCAAGTTTTGACAAGCAGATCTGACCTTCATGGCTTTGGCAACTGTGAGGGTTACTGTCATAGTGCTACTGTCCAGTACAAAACCCAAAAAATCTATTTTTTGCTGGGGCTGAAGCACAGACTTCAACGGGTGGTTAGTGAAGCCAAGGTTAGTAAACAAACAAACAGTATCTGCTATATTTCTATGACATGCATCGAAACTCTGACCAACAAGTAAGGAGTCATCAATATGTCCCATACATGTATGGCCAATCGAACGTAATCGGGCATAGACCGGTTTGAGGATTTTAGTAAAAATCCCGGGGGCAAATGATAGACCGTTAGGTAAGCATGTAAACTGATAGTATTTCCCTTTCCATCGAAATATGAGGAGCTTTCTGTCTTCCTCTGCTATGGGAATGGAATAATAGGCATCCTTGAGAACTACAGATGCCATAAAGCATCCAGGTCGGATAAGCTTGAGGGCAGTACGAAATGTGTCCATTTTGAAATGGTGGTAATCGACAAACTTATTGAGCGGTTTCAGATTAAGGATCATCCGGAAAGCATCATCCTTTTTAGGACGAATGAAGATATTTGAAATAAAACCATCAGGTACACAGTTGGTAACCTAAATAACTTCTTTGCTAACAACCTTAGCAATTTCTGCGTCAATAATCATGATTTTAGCAGCTGAGAAATTGATTTTATTGGGTTGAACTGTCTGTGTTGGGTACTCCGCCTCAAACTCTATATGGTGATGGTTTATGGCATCCAAGATAACTGGGTCATTAGTTAATGATTCCCAAAAGGGCAGATGGTGTCTCACTTGCCCTGCTCTAAAATGTTCAACCCGTTTGTGCAAGTCGTTTAAGTTAATACTTGTAGCGGGAACTGTTTCGCTTACCTGGTCCTCTATTGTGTCTTGTGAGAGTTCTTTTGGTCGTTGTTGTTTGCCCTGGTCTGAGTTGATGCCCGGCCATGTCCTTAAAAAGGGCGGTGCTCGAAAGCATTGAAACGATTGTTTTGTGGTCGGTCGTAAGGTTTAGACCGTTGGTTTTTGAGACTTGAGGCTTTGGCGTTGTACGTGTGGGCTGATCCAGTAGTTAGTTTCTGCATCTGTTGTCCGGCTCGTTTCAATTAGGACATTTCTTTAAGATGTTTGGATAAATCATCGCCAGACAATTTAGTTGTCGGTTTTATTTCCTGCTTGCACAATCTAGTGTAAGGTGGGTTAAGGTCAGGCTTAATGATCTCTCTTCGTTTCATATTAAGCTTCCAGTTTGCTTGGCCAAAGAGCGCAATGCTGTCCATCACGTGTCTGAGGGTCTCCCGCGCGTCTACGGTTTTCGCGCTCTGAATATCTTTGAATAGCCGGTCGGCTAGGATTGTTAGGGAGGATAACCCATGAATGAGTGGCTCCTACACACGTTGGAAAGCCAAATCCACCGTCCTGTTCTTCCGAGATATCAGGTCCCAAATTTCTTCATTCACCATAGTTGCGGTGAGGTATTTGCAATTTGCCGGAGGCGGATACTTTTCGCCTCGGTCCTTCAATGAATCTTGTGACAATTCTCTATTCAAAATATTGTCTACAAGACCGGTAATTTTCTCCTCAATATCTGGAGATTTTTTAATGTTTGGCAGCAACGCCTGAGTCAGGCTGTCTAGGAAGTCGTTGTTTGTCCCTTCGTCAGGGCGCAAAGTGTTACATTGAGACTTTGGACTTTGGCCGTTGCTCGAGTCGAGCAATTGCTTTGTGGCCGTGGTTAAGTCCAATAAATTGGGAGTCGCATCTGTTTCTGCGTCCGTATCCTCTTCATTTGGCTCAGGCTGCAGAAAAATGCCTTCTCTCAGGCTATTGAACGCTTCGGTTTGAGCCTTCGAGGCTTGGACGAGTTGTGTGAGGGAGCTCTGTAAGCTCAGCAAAACGCTCGCCATTTCGGTCGAGCCGTTTTCCTCGCTATTTCTGTCAGGATCTGGATTGGGATCTGTTACTCCGTGATTGTCGTCGTTCATAGTTCTTGGACCTGTGTTTCCCTCTCGGTAAAATGACGTTCTGAGAAGCGTTTAAGCGATAGGTAAAAGAAAAAGTGCGAATCTCATTCAGCGAAAATTGTTGCTTCTTACTGACGGCGCGAAGCGATAAGCACTGATGTGCGCATGCGTGTTGCAATCTCATGGGATCCCTGTAGCAGTAGTGACGAAATAGAACTATTTTTTCGTTAAAGGCTGAGCAGAGTTTTGAATATTTCTGTTCTTTTCCATAACTGTGAATCACAGTTATGGATTTAGTCAATGAAAGCTACTAAAGCTAAAGTGAATTTTATAATCCCGAGGAGGCAAGTATACAATAAGATAAATAAAACTATGTTTGTTATAAAATACTGAGCAAAGCTTTGATTACTTCTACAAAGTAACACACTTTCACTCAGTCATTTCAAGCCCTTGAATTTGTCCTTTTTTTATTTTAAATTGTTTTAAGGCCCATTTCCAACCTTGGTACGACGCGGCCGTTTGTTTTTGTTTTGAACCACCGCTTTTGTTTAAAAAGCGCCTCTGATTGGTCAGTTATTGTTACCTTTATCTTTTTTTGAAAGAGATGATCGGATGCAGTATAAAAATTGTTTTCAGCAAGGGCTGATTGTGTATTTGGGCGGATTGGGAGTTTGAAAGCCATTTCTTTGTCAGGTCCTGAATGTGTTTCTCCTGATGCATTTGATCAATAATCTTAGTAACCCTTTCCAGCCTGTCTTTTACTATGAATGGTGTGAGAGGTTTGTAGTGAACTCTGGTGTTGAGTGGCACTTTGGCTTCCTCTGTTTTTTCTGTCTTATTCATGATGACGGTTGTTGTGTGAAAGGTGTACTAGAGGCACTTTCATCTCGTGATCAGATTTCGCAAGAGTTGGCCTGATTTAACATATCGTTCGAAACTTTCTACTTCATTGGGTACAATTTCCAATTAAATACAGACTAAGTTCAAAATACTGTAAGGAAGCTATAAAATGATTGACCACAGGTCCAGGATGGCTCTTGAGAAAGACGATTTTTGGAGGTTTTCAGTAATCGAGGAATTTTGTGTGACAGGAAATAGGTCCGAGCGCGTGCTGCATCAAGGTTGGAAATGGGCCTATCGCAAAACCAAAGGAATTCAATGAATAAAAGGCACATTTAATCCCCTTGGGTCTAGCGAGAAGTGCCTCATTTCCAGTTTCACAAGATTTAGACACGCCATTGTAGCAAACAAACACTCTCAAAACCTCAAAACCTCAAAACATACATTTAAATTTATTCTCAATGACTTTCCTAGCCTTTTCAAATTGAATAGAGATAAATCTTTATCTTCAAGAAGAGTACGACATTTTTTAATTTAGAAGACATGTTTCGATGTTACGAACATCATCGTCAGTTACAGACTATTTGAAAAACCGTTAGGGCTATTTAACAACTAGCCGAAACATGCATAATTGATTATGATTAAGTGACAAAAATACATATTGGAGTGAGTAAAGTGTTGGAAAGAATATAAAGCCTAAAGCGTAAGCGTCATGTTGACGTGAGAACTTGTTGGTTTAAATTAGGCTTTTCCCAGTTTATGTGCATAGCCTCCTTAAGTTTAAGTTTAAATTTAGAAGGAGCGGAATCAAGGATTTCAAAACAATCCGCAGAGCAGGTTGACGACAACTTTCTGAGTTTTTTAAATGTTTGAAGATATGTGAGGACTTGTCTGAAGAGAGGTGTTCACGGACGCGTGTGGAAAAATGACGACCAGTTTCGCCGATATAGCAAGCATTACAGCAAGCACAAGTAAATTTATAAACCACACGTGAACGAAGTTCTCTAGGGACATATCCCTCACTGAGAAAAGATTTCTTAATTTAAACGTGGTAAACACTAATTTGATGTCAAGATCATTACAAAAACGACTAACAAGGCGACGTATTTTGTTTTGGGCTACAGTAGAAAAACGGTCTAAATAAGGTAACTTATAAAAGTATTGTTTACCTTGTGAAGCGATATTAGAGGAAGGAGGTGTTTGAGTGGAGCCATGTCGATCGATGGCTGTGTTCAAATATCGATAAACGCATTTATCAGTAAGATGAACGGGGAAAAGATTCTTGCGCAAAATGAAAGCTAATTTAACAAGTCCTTGTGGAAGCCCAACCAAGTATTGTTGATTTTAAAAACCCTTAGATCAGATAAATCTTTTAATATTGATTGTCATTGGAAATGAATAAGACTTTCTAAGAAAGATCACTGATTGTTTTTGAAGAAAGACAATCAAAGTGTGGGTCTCGATGCTGGTTCCACACGCTCTTAGTTTTGTCTGTGATGTTTTCTGATAGGATGTTATCACCTGTGAGCTCATGTTTATCGGATACTGTTTGAGTGGAGCATGTCTGCTGTATACATCGTCATTCACTGTGCATAAAGTTTATTTTTGAGTCTTTACATTCAGTAGACCGATGGTGTACAAATAGGAGCTTTCTTGTTTGTTTTTAATAGTACTTAAAGGAACTTTTTCGGTTCTCCAAGATAGTAACTTTGAAGTCAAGGACAGACAGGAAAAGGCCTTCTGGTGATTTAGCGGGTTCCTTAATCTCAAAAGTGTAGAAATTTTCAAACTAAATCCATATTTTCAATAAGAACAAACAAACAATCGAGTCTAGTTTGTATGTACCCATTAACTGATTTCAGCAATTTTATTTTGTGTGATAACATTTTGTAACTAAGTTGAGATTTTCATGCATTTTAATGACAATTGTCAAAATAAATATAATTATGAAAAATATTCTTCAATATGCACAGTGACTACATTGTTGAATTAGCAAGTTAGTCGGTTTTTGCACAGGCCCCAATGTCTACCACTGGGTACTTGTGTGTTTCTTTGACTTCAGGTCTTTATCAAGATCAAGATCATGCCATGTAATTGTTACTCACGTTTCTGTCAAACTTTGCCTGTTGATTGTTCATTTGTATTCTTCTCATAAATATATTTTGAACACTTACTAGTTAAATTAACATTTTGCACAATTTGTTGTTTTTTATCCTGCACACTGTAAGTGGATCAAAGTCTGCTGTACTCAATTTTTTAAAATGAATTAAAATTTTGTTAAAAAAAGAAGTGAAAACAAGAAAGAAAATGTTACCATGTTTGGTTTCCAAAAGTTATGAGCATCTTCTCTCAGGCAAGCCACAACCATCGAGAAAAGCAGTTATGTAGTCATTGTGAATAGTTGGATCAGGCACAAATTCATGCAAAATGAAAAAGTGTGTATTTACCCTGGTAAATAATAACTGTTTGGATGTGCAACATGAAGAATGGGAGCTCATCTGCTTTTTATTTTAACAGACAGAAAATCTATGGCCCAAATGTTATTGATGTTACTGTGAAGTCATATGGGAGGCTTTTCCTTGAAGAGGTAAGGATTTTCTGTTTCTTTGGAGAAAGAGGGCCACTTTGACTTTGGTTGGTTGCTAAAATTATGCGTGTGCTGCCTCCATTTCAGCTGGGCATCTGACCAGTTTTCCAAAAACTTAACTGAAGTTTATCGAGGGCTTGCACATGTTAGAAGAAACTCCTCTTGTTAATTTTTTTTCAGCCACTTTTTTATAATAGCTTCTTCTTTTTGGTGAGTTTGGGTAAAATAAGAGATATTGAATGTTGAGTTGAAGTAAATATAGGAATATACATATCACAAGACTACAATCCTATGTTATATTATTTCAGGTTGCAGATCCCTTCTATGTGTTCCAGTTTTGCAGCATTGTTTTATGGTCAACCGATGATTACTACTACTATGCTCTTGCTATTTTGATAGTCACAATGGTTTCAATAACAATCACAGTATACCAAACAAAAATGGTAAGCCATGTGCCATTCTCTTTCCCCATAAACATGAACCAACCACTTAATAACCAAGAGTGAGGTCATTATGGGAAAATCCCAAACTAAGGCCTTGCCACATTGACTGAGTGATAGTGTGGTCAATATGACTAGGTTGAGGTTTGATATTTTTCCGTATTAACCCAGCGGACAAGTTTATTAAGTTGGCTTATAAACTGAAGGAACAAAAAATTTATCCAAGCGGAAGTCATCAAATTACATCCAGCAATGGGTATGTTTACCTATTCATCAGGTCTGATAAGATACGATACTTTATTTAACCGAGGATTTACGTTTAGCTAATCAGCTAGTTTACAGTTAATCCACAGCTCAAATATATTTTAAAAATTTCAATTTTTTAAGGTTTAAAAACCTTAATCTATCTTACAAAACTATAAACACAGAGAACTAAAAATCTAGGGTATCAAATTAAATTCCGATAACATTCAAACGTAAGCAGTTGCATTTTTTTTGTTCACTTCTTTAGTGCCTTCTGTACAGTTCTACTATAGTTCTAATATCATTTTTTAGGTCGTTCCATTTCTTTGTGGCAAAATATCTCCATGATTCGATGTGTTGCACTGTTATCTTTGTACTGTGTAAATGTACCTTGAGGACCTTTCACCGACTTCCCTAATTTTAGTAGTGTTTCTTTTTCTGCAGTGGTGCTAGACTTTATTTTGGTTTGGTTTCATGCTGTTAAGAATTGTGTAAATTAACATATGATCACTTAGGCCAACGTCAACTGTAACCGATCAAGTCGCCCGAGAGTCATCGCGCTTGAAGTCATGTTGCCCGAAATCTTAGTCATGTCACCCGCGAAAAAAAGTGAAGTTACCCGAAGAAACAAATACCTAAAAGATAAGACTTACAGTCTGTAAATAAGCAATAAAATTGAGAAGTCTTTCTTGCTAAAGGGCTCTTTTTTTGCAACACCACCCTGAAGATTAAAAAAGAGAGGTCTGCCTTCACTCGTATCAAAAGCAAATTGCTCTGTTTCGTAGAGGAGGAAGACCACTTAAGTTGTTAAGAAGTAAAAGAATTTTGTGAACAACTTTGTGACGCTCAAGGTTGGGTAATGGAAGCAATGGTTCAACTTTCAACCAAATAGAGGCTCATTAATGAAGGACAAAATCAACCGCAGAAAAGTTATCAAAGAGATAAACAAGCTCAAGGTGGAGTTGTCTGATCTTAATGAAAGAGTGCAGGAATTCTGGATCGTCGAAAGAATGACTTGTCAACATTGGCAAAATGTTTTTCTAGCTTGCATTACTTTCTTTCTTCAGGTAATAGAGAATCGTGCAAAAATTACAGCTTAAACTGTTGTTGTTGTTTTTTTTTTGCAAGCAATTCCCATATTCACTAGCCAAGGTAATTCCATACCAAGAGAGACTGTAAAGTTTGCCTTAAGAAACACGTTTGGGGTGGGGCTTGTTTTTAGATGGATGATATGTGGTTCTAGTTTTTACTCCTTTGTTGTAAGATGTGACTCTCATGGACAATCAGCTTTAAGTAGAAGTTATTATTGACAATTGGAATAACAATGATTAAACTTTTGTACAGTAACCTTGCCTAAAGCGGAGAGGTTACGGGACGTGTGAGTTCATGTCAGGCCCCCACCCCTCTGCTTTTAGCTCGTCCCTTCAGCAGATATCTACATACTGCGGGAAGAATGTGTCTTCCCCCGTCACGATTCAGGGTAGGGCGGTGTAGTTTAATGTTGATCGCTTCTTTCACACCCCTTTCGAACCACTTTGGTTTCAATTGTCAAGATCTTAGAAGATTTGAAATTGACCACATGGTCTGCCCTGGAGTGTGAATGGGGCGAGAAACCCTGGAGTGGTGGAACTTGGCCTGTGGTGTTCGTCAAACCATGTTTAAAGGACTGCTCAGTTTCTCCCACATAGCTTGCCTCCAATAATTACAAGGGATGAAATAGACCCCTTCCGGCACTCTTCCTTTGGTGAGAGGATCTGTTGGGGTGCTTAAGAATCTGGCACAGCATATAGCACGGTTTGCAATAGGTGGGGATGATGAACCTCTTGTAAACTCTTCGAAGCTGTTCGGACACGCCCTTGATGTATGGTAATCCAACTGGACACTATGTGTTGGTCTGTGTTGGGTGTTTTGAACATTCTGTCTGGCGTTGTTGTTATGATGTAATGCAGTATTGTGCGAAAGTAATACAAACAAAAATCATCGAATTTCGTTCATTGTTCGATTCTCAAGCACTGATTAATCAGAGGAAAACTATAAGTCAATTAAGAAATCATTCAAAATTCAAGAAATCATGCCATATTTTGGAGCTTAAACCTAGTAGGGGACTAATGTCCTATTATTTTTGCTCTGGTACTGCTTTGTACAAATCCTTAAATAAATAAAAATAAATAAATGAATAAAACTAATCCTTTGTGGCACAGATTTCATTGTCTTTCTAGGATGGCACAACATTTTACTATTGACCTCCTGTACTCCGCATCTTGGGTTTTGACGAGGAGGTTCCTAATGATGCCATCTGTTCCTGGATAGACTTCTTTGACCAGTATAAATTTCCATTTTCTATGTGGGCATTGTAGTCTACAAGAAGGACAATATTGGGAACTCTGATCTGACGAGTCCTAGAGCCCCACTTGGACGTGTATTGTAGGGATCTACTCTCAGATAAATCTTCTTCAAAACTGGTGTGCAAGACTCTGCACAAACTTAAAGGGTTTTCTAGGGTTCTGGGTGGTTTCAAACAGGCCTTGTGGAATGCAGGAGGAGGAGCGTCTAAGCAGGAGATGGTTAGGTGTCAATGGCTGCAAGTCATTTGGATCACTTAACAGATGACCAAGGGGCCTGCCGTTAATCAGAGACTTGATCTCAGCAAAGCAGTAGACATTTTTCATTCCACAAAGAGATCTGTATGCCAACTGCGATGCGTTGGGCAGTTTTTACTTGCTTGATGAGGCTCTCGTAATTTGCTCCCTGGTGGGGGCTTAAGAAGTGCAGCATTGCAAAGGTGTTGATCTGCTTTCGTTCTTCTGTAAGCAGCTTTCTTAACTCCTTCTCAGTGCTAACAAAATTTTTTCCGTTGTCTGAGATAAAGGTGTTGAGCCAACCATGGCAGGCGACGAATCTTCTCAGGGCTTGTAGGAAAGCTTCGGTCGAGAGACTCTTCCACAATTTCAAAGTGAAGCGCTCTCGCTGTTGCACAAGTAAACAGTGAAACAAGGGGTGAGCGTGTAAAAGGCCATAGTGGAATCTTTGACATCAATGGGTATGACATTCCTTCTTTGAGCCGCGGTCTCTTGTCAAGTGACCTCTCTTCAGGCAAGAGAAGCACAATCTTGCTTTTATTACACATTTGAATCATTTATCTTCTGATGATCTCTTTCCTGCAAATTTGCACTAATTGCAGCTTCTTTGATGCCATCAGAAAGGTGGGCATCACTGGCTTTTTGGCTTAACCTTCACATGCCCTTGATTGACCTTGAGTAGTTTACCACTCGGAAAGATTTTTACCTTTTGTTCGGAGGAACACAGTATACGTTAGCTCATCTTTCCACAGATCAAATGCTTCACAGTCTTCTTCTTCTTCCGTCAAAAGGTTTTACAACCCCCCATTTGGATCACATGCAGCTTTATAATCCTCTCGAAGTTGTGCCATTTCTTTTTGTAGTCGCCTTCGGCATGAATTTTCGTCTCCATGGCCTTTGTCCTGAATTTCGCGAATGCATGGTTTATGTAATTCTCTGACAGCTTTGGGTTTTCTTTCTCTTCAGCAGGGTGGCTGGATTAACTTCTTCGCTGGTAGAATCTTGAGCTTTGTCTGTTATTATTTGGTTGATCTATGTTAGCCGCGCAAATACCCATCCATTTTGGTACAAACAAATGCACATTTCAACACGAAGCCTTGTGTGATATTTATTAACTCTGAAGGGTAGATCCTCGTGCATAAAATAGAGTTAAGTCAGAAAATGGCTACGGGTACGCTTGCCTGCGTGTAAACAACCCCCATTACCTTTGTTGCATGCGGAAAGGAACATCTGTGCAACACCGTCTCTAATCAACATTCCATCTACCAATAAAGGTAGACGGGAAGAAATAGAACGAGTAAAGGCTGTTCTGCGAGATAACAATTATCCAATGCCTTTTATACAGAACTGTGAGAGAGTGTTATTTAAACAACCCGCCCAGACCAACTTCAATCGCTTTGTAGTGCTGCCGTATGTACAGGGTGTTTCCGAGAAAATAAGTCGCATATTGAAACAACAAAAGGTCAAAGTAGCCTACAAACCACAACAAACTATCAACAACCTTTTTCCACGCCCCAAGGAGCTAGACGAACCTGACTGCCAGAAATCAGGCATGGTGTACAAAATCGATTGCACACAGTATAATTTTAAGTACTATGGCCAAACAGAAAGATCATTAAAGACCCGAATTGCGGAGCACAAAAAGGCAGTTACAGGTTTTGACTTAAACTCCAAAGTCGCAAGCCATGTCCACCTTTTCGACCATAACATGGATTTTACAAACGTCAGGGTCGTTGGGTTCGAAACTAATTACCACGAGAGACCCTTCCTTGAAGCCAGGCACTCTACTTTGGATCCGAATGCTGGGAACGATCACATCGTACTTCCAGAAGCCTATAAAGACCTCGAGCGAGCATCAAATACATAGTACGCGCGCAAGCTTCGCGTCACGTTTTAATTTTAAATAGCGTATGATAACGATCCTCGTTTTTCATATCACTGATGAAGGCTTAAGCATTAGCCGAAACGTCTGTGTCAGAAGTAACAACAGAGGCCACCAATTTTCCATAAAACTCGTAACAAGTCATATATCCCCATCAAATACGGTCGATGAATTACACGGCGATATATAATAAAGTGTAGATGATGCGTTAAGACACATTATAGCCCTGTTGTCTGATCAGAACAGAATTTTCACGCCCACTGCGCAAAAGCTAACATCTATATTTTGCTAGCAAAAAAAGTGTAAACAAACCCATGTTGTGCTTAATCTGTCCTTCCAAGTTATTTAAATTTAAGAAGTCAATGAGTTTTTCTTATAGACAGCCTGAAAAACACTTCCCTGTTTAGCTTTAGCGGAGTACGTTAGTAATCCGTTAGATTTGCGGATCTTCTCGCAGGCAGGGAGTTCAAGGTTTGCATTAGATAGTTAGTCCATACTATTACTACCACAATTTTCAACCAATTCTTGCAAAATATCAATATAGGGCTGCTTCCACTTGCTGTTTATTGAAGAAACATCTAGTTCAAGCGCGGTGCAGATCTCCCGTAGGATCCCAACGGAAAACTTTGACAACTTGGACTTGCACGCGATTTCACAGATGTTGTATTTGTCATACTATAATAAATGACCATTATAAAATACCATGATAAAACACCATGATACATTTAATCATGATACATTTAATCACGAAATGTTTCGTATATTTAAAACGAGAGCTAAGTTCCTGAAGCCACGTGTTTCACAGTACAACGTTCTGTTTTTGCGAAGTTGTCGATTTCAGTTGATCTCATTTTGAATTAATTAGTGTTGTTCCGCCTTCGAGAAACACGTTTCTGAACCAGCAAAATTCCGCTTACATTTTTGTTCGTGGTTCGGTTAAAGACTAATATTTAAGCAAAGATCTCTTACGTGAAGTAATTACAGCCTCTTTTTCAACGAAATGGGAATAGAGAAACCTCAAATCAAAAACCCCGAGATACGCTTTGTGAACAATCATTATGAGGCGTTGACTATCCTTCCAAGTAATATCGCTATTGTGAGGAAGATGCAACAATTTCAGGACTGCAATCTGTTGTGTTATTTATCGGCGAGCGTAAAAGATCCGAACGACGCCATTCATTCAAGAACTTCCAGTGCCTCTTTACTCCCGTCACGTGACTCGGTACAAAGTACAAACTATAACAATTTTGACAACACAACACAATCCTCAGAAACATGGAGGGTAAGAGCATATTATGTTAAATAAGCAGTAGATTGGACGTAAAATGCGAAAAAATCGAGTTTGCGCGAGTATGTGTACATTTTTGACTAATTCGAATCGGCGCATTTTATCCAACTTTAAAATTTGATTAAATCGCCCAGAATCATTTCTCCAAAAAATCCTTTGGAGATCCAAAAGAACTACCTTCCGCCTTCCGAAACCCAGATTTCCGGTTAATTATTTTGTATAGCACATAGTCAAATCACGGGTTACTTTTGACCTATTTTTAGTCTAATTGGAAGTAGGTCGGATAAATTCAATTTTTAATGTGTAAATAGATGGTCAGGAATTGCTAAAATTGCAATCAACATATGTTTTGATGTTGTTTTTCAAGATTTGTTACTTTTTATCAATCCAGGTTTTTTCATTTTGTGACGCGACGCTCCGAGATGCGTCTGAAATTTTGAGCCTCAAAAGCCACATTTTGGCGGAATTCAGTTGTTATTGATTTTCTCGAAAATAAATCGATATTCAGCCAAACGAAGTATGCAGTGGCTTATTTCCCATTGAGACCTACTTCACTTTGAAATATGGGCGAAATTGATTTTTCAGCTGTTGCCACCAAATGTTTGGCCATTGGTAACATACGCTCTTAATTCCCTCAAGCATTATTTTGAATCAGAATTAAGTGAACATTTACCCACACTTGTCAAAAATATTTTGCACTGTTAATTGATGCAATCATTTTGTTTGGCATGCTTTATTTCCCAACAGCATCTACAGAGATTGCGAAGCATGGTGGCGGTGTCAGAGAGAGTCACTGTACTGCGAAATAATGCAGGTACTTTGTATAAATGTACAAGAAAGTTGACAAAAACCACATTGATTTTGTACCAATAAGTGCATTGAAAATGGATGGTTTAGGAAATCAACCAATGAAAATTTAGCATAATGCTTCAAAAGTTGGCCTGTGATCAGACTTCTCATTTTGCTTTTTGCTGTAGATGACTAGTTACACCTAGTGGAAATATCTTTATTACATTAGCATTGGCCACATTATGGGACAAGTTTAAAGTAGTTTACCATTGAACAGCTACAAGATTTCTTATGTTATGGGTAATTCTCCTTCGTAGTGCAAAGAACGTTACAGACGTAGGCAAACCTATTAGAGTCATTGATGCAGGAAAAGAAATTAATTACCGAGAAGAAATTATTTCTCAAGAAAATGTCAAGATTCTGCCCCTTATCTCCTCTTTGCATCTCTGACCTTACTGTGTATTGAATATCCTCATTGTATCAACCTTTCAGGGGTGTTATACAATTGTACTTGTAGGTAGAATATTTTTGTGTTGCATTGTAAATTTAAAGTTCTTGTTGGAACTTGGCTGATGATGAAGGGAGGATAGTTGGAATTAGCAGTGGTGCACAATGGATTGTTGTCAGGCTCTCCGAATGGGTTGTGTTTATCAGTTCTCAGGTTAAGGGAGACATCTAACAAATTGACCCCCTCTGAGTTGCTTTATGCTGTATTTCCAAGCCCAAGGTCAAAGACAATTTTGAAAAAGACTGTTCTGGTTTTGTGACCAGATCTTGCATTTATACTCGCAAACACTGCTAGTCTGTCATTGCAGACCAAGGGATCTGTGCCATGTGCCATTTGCCATTTGTGACACTTACTTTGAAAGAGTTGCAAAGAAGTGTTAACAGAGAAACCAAAATTCACCTTGAATTACACAGATGAAATGGATGTATTATCTGAGGAACTTGTTCCTGGTGATGTGCTTGTTATTCCACCTAATGGAGCACAAGTTCACTGTGATTCTGTCCTTATCAGTGGTAACTGTATAGTCAACGAGAGCATGTTAACAGGTAAATTTAACAACAACTTATGCAAATATGCACAAAACATCCTCATTAATGTCATTAAGGCAAGGATATTGCCTTATTTTGAGGAAATTGTGTAGTAATTTATTTGTTGTTGAAGTGAAATAATAAATTTTCCAAATGCTAAATGTCTCTTAACTTTCTCAACGTATCCACAATATCCTCAGCTCCTATCCTGGTCACTGCACAGTGTTCCAAATACTGGACCAGTACACGGGAATACTCAATGCGATGTGTTTTTCCCCTTTTAATCACACAGGCAGTACCCTTAAACAATCTTGCAGTATAAAAAGACAATTTTCTCTCCCACTCTTGGCACATGTTCATGTCCCTATATGGAGCTCCCCTCAAGGGCGAGATGCCTCTGCAAACTGTTGCAAAAGTCTATCCTTTATTCATGACTGATCACCACTCATGGGTGGACCATCATGCAGTGTACTACTTAGTATTTTTTCCTGGCCCTGGTGTCATTTTCAATGGACAGTGAGGCTGTCAAAAGGAATTCACCTACTAGGTTTTTCTGACTTTTATGGTCAAATGAAATGGACAGAGTAACAGTTCTTTTTATTTCATACAGGTGAAAGCGTCCCAGTCACAAAGATTCCATTGCCTTATATAAAGGGATTATCAAATAGTCCTTTGGAACAGAGAGAAGAACAGTATAACCCAGAGCGGCACAAGAGACACACTCTCTTTAATGGTACTAATGTCATACAAACCCGTTATTATGGAAATGCGAGAGTGCTAGCAGTTGTTGTTAGAACAGGTAGATGTACATGTATGATCTGTTTTTAATGATGTTGTTCTTAGCAAATGTATGTGAATGGGTTTTCCTGAACGTTGATTTGTTCAGACGTTTATCATGCCCAGCCATCTTGCAACTAGTGGGAGCCCCTGACAGTACACCTTGAGAATTATATGCCACCAATAGGATAAAAGTAAATCTTGAGGACCATTTTTTTTTAAACAATGAAATCCCTACCCCTGGAAACTTTAATGACCATTCTGATGCTACTGCTTGAAGAATACACAACCAACTGCCAAAACATTTGCCTGCTGAGGGAGTGATCTAAAGGTTCCTTCTTGGCATTTTTATACTATACTTTATACTATAAAGAAACATTAATCATTGCATTGCTTATGGCCCCTGACTTGAGACTTGTACCGTGTACAAAATTATATGCTCATATTTGTTTAACCATGATTAACTCTGGTTACATGTGCCTCAGATTGTAATTAAGATAATACAAAAGTTGGCATTTTTAAATTCACTGAAAGAACTTGAAAAGTCTTTTCTTCCCAATATGCTATAGAGAAAGAGTGCTCTTACATAAGAGACTGGCAGACTTGGGTAGTTGAATGAAATACATGCAGTATAATGTTGATGCGCGTTCAAATTTTCTTAACTAGACTCACTCTGTCTAACTTTGAATCATCAGGATTTTCCACAACCAAGGGTGGCTTAATGCGTTCCATTCTTAGTCCAAAACCAGTTGGCTTCAAGTTCTTCCGTGATTCTATGCGTTTTATTGGCCTTATGACAATTCTTGGTAGGATTCATCACAATATTGCATTTTGTTGGATGAAGTTTATAATTGACCTCTGTTAATGTTTACTGTAGGGAATCTCGATGTTTTAGCATCAGCCAAGGACCTACTCATCATATAGCTAACTAAATTTTCTATAATGGGATCAAAATTAGGCCATGAATGTTAACTTTCATAGAATATTTGTGCTGGAAATGTGTTCAGCATTATTTTTGAATGAGCCATACGAACCATATATGAACATACATATGAACCATATATGAACATACATTTTTTGTTGCAAGGTAATGCGTCAAGCATTTGGAAGCTTCAGCATCTTTCCTCTGGGAAACCTTTCAGGCACTTGGTCTTTTGAAAGCCAAGTGCCGGATTTGATGGTCGATTTCTTGTTCTTTCTTTTTTAAACGACCGTGACTTCCTTGTAGACTTTTTCCTCTGAGCCATCTGCTGTAAAAGTCAACTCTTTGTCTCTAAAGACCTCAATATTGAAAGATAAAAATGTGTTTTCTGCCAGAAAGACTTGACAATTCAGGAGTGAATTTCCCACCCCACCCAGACAAAGTCAAAATTCCCCACCTTCTAGAAATGGAGCATGGACGACATTAAAATGGTTGTGGGTTGCCAAGGGGGTTGGATGTTAAGGTTTGAATTGATTGCGCTAGACATTTTGGTCAATTGGTGCTAGACACTTTGGCGTTAAAGGATTAGTCGCTGTTGGACATAACTTTTTCAGGCTCATGAAAAGACTAAAATGAATGAATTTTGTTTACTGTTGTTGATGTATGATAGCTGACTCACAATTATATTTTTTTCGAAATTATAGCAATGGTGGGATTCTCTTACAGTATGTACACCTTGGTGCTGAATGGGGTCAGTACTTTTATAAACATTATGCAATTTTGAATAACCTAACATTATGCATTTTTTAGAAAGCTATAAAGTCGCCAGTTAGAGGCGTGGGTTGTACAACCGAAAACAATGGAAAACTTTTCACAATGGTTGAAAAGATTGTTATTGCAAAAAGCAAGATACCAGAATCTGCCATTCGTCTTAGTGCATGCACTTTGTATCACAACCCTCGACACCCCGGTGAACATCTTGTTCTTGTCTGTCTTTGTCTTTCAAAAGCTAATAGCCCTGAAAGTAATTTTCATTTCAAATATTTTTTCCTTCACTGTTTTGCTGCAATAAATGGATTAACAGATTCAAGAATGCACCTATTACTGTTAAAACAAAATTGGTGCCAAACTCAAATAGCAATTCATGAGAAATTATATTTATCAAAGAAAAGTTAACCAATGCAACTGCTTTCTGAAACAGATGTCTGTTGGAAAAATTGTGCTGAAATCTCTAGACGTCATCACAATTGCTGTTCCACCTGCTTTACCTGCAGCAATGTCGGTGGGGATTGTCTATGCACTTCAGAGGTTAAAGAAAAAACAGATCTACTGTATCAATCCATCAAGGTGCATGTAATCTCTGTTGTAGAAACAATAATAGAATTGCGGTATTTTTCTATCAAAGAAATTAGGTAAATTCAGATAAAGATGAAATAGATAAGGAATAGGAATCGTTTCCATTATTCCCTCCAACTAATACAATCAAGTCATGATAACTCGAATCTGCGAGAGGAATTGAAAAGTGTTTTAAGTTATTGAGAGTTTGAGTTGTTGGGGGTTGAGAATGCTTTATAATTTCTCTAATGTATGATCCTTTTGTATGATCCAAGTAAGATGTACATGTAAGACTGATAAGGTTCACTCCCTTTGATACTAACGATCATAATTATGATGTTGTGCTTGCTTTGATTTAGAATCAGTGTATGTGGAAAACTCAAGCTGTTCTGTTTTGATAAGGTGAGGTGGCAAAGGAAGAATAAGGTAAATTTATATCACTGCATTACTTTGATTGCTAAAATGAAATGAAATTAGCTAGGACTGCACTTAAAACCTCAGAGGGCAAAACTATCTTGTTTAGAAATGCCAAAACCAACCGGAGGTCCGCTATTTGAGCCTGATGACGAGGAGAACCAGTCGATTTAATGGTGCGAAATTAAAATGACATTCCCACACGATCAAAAGAAGAGGCCATGCTCATCTAAAGATCTTTGGTACATCATATTTTCCTTGCAATTAGGACACTTGCATACACATTTATGGTTTGATTACATCTACCATTCAATAGATATACAGCTTCTCTGATGTTCATGTATTTACTGTTTTACTGCAGACTGGAACATTAACAGAAGATGGTTTGAATCTACTGGGAGTATTGCCAGTGCATTCTGCAGGGTATGTTTGCTGTATAATATAATTCAGTTTCATCAACTAGGTTCATGATTTAAATTGGCCACCGTTAAGAGTTTCTAAAGCTGATGTTTCGAGCGTCAGCGTTAGCGCTCTGACGAGGGGGTAAAGTTCCAAATGTCAGCTGCAGAAGCTCTTTACCGTAGCCAATCTACATTAGGGACTTTAAGCAGTCAGGACGGCAACGCCACGGAAGACGTCGATTAAAAAACGAGTTTCTACTTTTAGTTAGAATTTCGAAAATGGCTGGATGCGTTTACCGTCTCATAGGGCGCCAGACCTCAAACTCAACATAATGCATAAAAGCGTTGAGTTCCAAATGTAAATTAAAATAATTTACCGCCGCGGTTTAGCTTCACAGACGANCGTCCTGAGACAGGAGGCCATGGATTTAATTAAATTGCCGATGGTGAACGTCCTCGTTGCCGTCGCCGTCGTGGTTGCTTAAGGTCCCTTTTATCAACTCAGTTAAGGAAACCAAATTTTCTTGAAATACACCCCGCCACCGACGCAGCACCACAGTTTCTAAGAAACTTACCCCCTTCATTTTTTGTACTAGCTTTATGTGTGGTTGCAGATGTCCCAGTTATTGGAGTTTTTCTTTTTAATCCTTGCTTTTCTGTAAAATACCAGAAGTTTTCTTTTCACCTCCATTTAGAGTGAAAGGCCTAAACCTGTGTAACCCAATATTGTGAAAGTTATAGTCACCTGGTGCAAAACAGCATACTGACAATTGTAGTATGGATATATGTGAATGCTGCTTAGTAAATTGTTTTGTTTTAGATTTGGTAGAGTGGCTCCAGGTGCAAAAAATATTCCGCAAGGGCCGATATTAGCTGCGATGGCAACTTGTCATTCTTTGACAATGATTGATGGCAGATTGAGTGGTGATCCTCTGGATCTGAAGATGTTTGAAGCAACTGACTGGGTACTGTATTTATAGTACCATTTTTATATTTGTATTTGAATGAGATAAATAGATTAAAACTTTAAGTCGCCAGTAAACAGAACTGAGTGCAGTAAAAATCCCCAGTGAAAGTCATGTTGAGTGTATTGTTTGGTTCATTTTCTTAGATAAAGTTAAGAAAATTTGCCACCTAATTTTCCAACAGTTGTATAGTCTTTTTCTATATTGTGCAGCAGTTTCGATCCCTTTTTTCTTCGATAAGTTGCGGCCCCTATGACTACTGTGACTACCAAAACAGCGGTACAATTCTTAAATTCGACCTACAGAGGGCAAAAAAAAAAAGGCCCTACAGGACCTCCAAAGAGGTAGTAGATCACAGGTTTTATTGGTCTTATTGAAACCCTTTTGGAATGAAAACACCAACCAATCCTAATGATTTCCTAGAGCTCACCTACCTGAAGTTTTAGGTGATTAGCGATTAGGTGAGGCGATTAGGAAGGCGATTAGGAAGGCGATTAGGTGAGGCAGGTCAATAAGTTTTGCTGGTCCATGGACCAACCCAATGGACCTGGCCCTGTGCTTCCAAACCTGACTTGTGACGGACTACCTTGAAAGACTTCAGAGGTCATTAAACAATGGAAATCAAAACGTATATGATGCAATTATAACAAACCAATACCACCAATAAATACAAAGTGTTCATGATAAAATTTCAAGCAAAGGTCAACAATTTTCCCACCAATCTAAATTGTTGCCTTAACCAAACTAAGGGAGGCTAGAGAGGAACTCCACGTCCCACTACATAATCCATTCCTTTATACAGAGGCTACCGTAGAAGATCTACATGTAAAACTGAGCTAATCGACCCTTGATCAGCTTACGAAGCTTACACAGTGCAAAGGAAGAACCACTGGAGAATAGCATATATTTTTATTTTTGGGTCGAGAGTGGGATTGTTGATTTTCCTATACAAATCCTCATCGTTTACGTACTGCACAACACAACATACTTGCATGAATACAGAGGCTGTTTGCGAGCTTAGGCTATCTGTGCTGCAGGATTGCCATTTCTTGTTTCACCCCTGTATGAACCGAATGCATTATAGATTAATTTTTGCAAGCCTTAATTTGTATGCGGGAATGAGTACTGCAAAATACTCTACTTCAGTTCTATATTGGCTATAGACATGTATTAAAGCAGTGCTTTTGAAAAGAGTACCTCACCACAGGAGAAGATCATGCTTTCCGAACTGCAAAAGCTGAAAACTATACAGAGTCTTGCTGACTGGCCAACATGCAACGTTTTGGTTGCGCTGTTATGTTCATCTCCTGGCTTATCTAATTACTCCACAGTTGTCTATCAATCGTCAAAAGCAGACAAAAAATAAAAACCAGGAAACATTGGTGGCTGCGAAAAACAAACCATGCCGCGAGAGTAAATCCTGACGCATCAAATTCGAAGCTTGGCTCGAGGGAGCAAGCTCTCTTTTAACTTGTTAATTAATAATGGTAATTGAACTGAGTGGAGTGCAATTTGTATAGGTAATCGCATTGGGCCGAGTAAAATTAAGGATTGATATCACGCGTGTTTTCGGAAGTTGCTGAAATTTCTGCAACTTCCGAAAACACAAGTGATATTAATCCTTAATTTTACGAGGAACCATGTGATTACTTGTTTATAATACAAGGGGCAAAATGTTTTCTTAATGATCTCGCGCAAAACGGGACGCCATTGTTACAAAACAAACAGAAATTTCTTCGCTCCGACGAAGGGCAAACGCTCGAAACGTCAGCTTTTGTAATCGTTACGGCGGCCAATTTACCATTTCAACTTTGTTGATATATCCAAGAAATTTCTTTACCTTGGCAGCCGTTGCTAAGCGATTTTCAGCCAATTATTTTCAAGTAATTTTGCCCGGGGCAATTACAAAAATTAAGAAAAAATACCCTCTGTATTGACCAATCACAATTCAGTAATTTTGCCCCTAAAATGATAAGGGCTGAAATCATCCGCGTGATTTGAAATCACAAGTATGATTTCAGACCAAAATTGCACGACACGAGGTTCAATTACCAGCAGGGT